ACACACACACACACACACACACACACACACACACACACACACACACACGTAGTTATCAATCAGAATCTGAATTGGAATACTAAATGGCTTTCGCACCAGTTGCTCTGTTTTTTACTGAAAATAAAATAGTAAATAAATAAAAAATATTCAAACCAAACATAAGAAGTATTATAGTTATATTAACAATGAAATAAAGATATTTACGGTTTATAAGATAAAGAACAACGTCCAATTTCAATATAAATATTAGTTAGTTAAAATAAAAATATCCATTTAAACATAAGCAGTTAAAAAGTAAAAATGTCAGATGTTAGATTATATCCAGTGCCTGGTGTGGATGTGGAAGTTGTTGGTGGTTCCGGTGTGTTCAAAGTCGTGAATCGCTGCAGCGAAAACCATCGCCAGGATCTCCAGCTCACTGAGCCAGTGCTGCACACGCACACACACACACACACACACACACACACACACACACATATGAATGATATCATTATGCAAAGATATCACACTTAGAAATAGACAGTTGCATTTATAAACATGAGTTTCAGGACATCCAACTGTGTGTGTGTGTGTGTGTGTGTGTGTGTGTGTGTGTGTGTGTGTGTGTGTGTGTGTGTGTGTGTGTGTGTGTGTGTGTGTGTGTGTGTGTGTGTGTGTGTGTGTGTGTGTGTGTGTGTGTGTGTGTGTGTGTGTGTGTGTGTACCATCAGTCCTGTGTGCAGCATCAGACAGTGGGCGGTCTGAGTAACGTCTGCAGCGTGGGTCAGGTTGTGATACGGGTTCCTGTGTTTACTGTAGCCGCTCTCCAGAGCCTCCACGAACTGAACCAGAGCCTGCACTGGGATCTGAGGACAGGGAGTACACAGAGTATTACACAGAGTACACGGAGAGTACACAGAGTATTATAGAGAGTACAGAGTATTATAGAGAGTACACGGAGTATTATAGAGAGTACACAGAGTAAATGGAGTACACAGAGTACAGGTATTATAGGAGTAAAGAGAGTACATACTGTACTATCTATCTAATTAGCATTTGTGTTTCAATCCAATCAGACAGGGAGCAATCAGTCCACACTGAAGCTGAATTCAGGTAAATATGCAAGCAGACAGTTTGAGATAAAAAGTGTTTATTTTCCCAACATTTGAAACATGTGTCTCCCCAGGTGTTAGCAGAAGAAGGTGTGTGTACCCTGAACCTGTTGATGAGGTCATAGCGATTCAAAAGGTCGTAAACCAGGAACTTCAGAGCGTGGTCTCCGGTCGCCTCGTGGAAGGAAAACACATCAAAGGACCAGTGATCC